TTCGWTTGAGGCAACATTTTCTCTACTTTGGGATGATTGCATAGCAAAACGTTTTTCTGAGAAGGTATTATAGGTATAAATGAGTCATATATTTGATTTACGCAACGTTATGAAATTTTCTTCTTCGTACAAGTAGCACTTTATAACAATGCGCTAAAGAACTAGGGAACTCTCTATTGTTCTGCGGCATAGCAAGTTCCCCATGTACGAATGTCTTGGTTTTCACACTGATTATGTATTAACCTGTGGGTAACACATTTTTGAAATAAAATGCGGATAAACTCTATTTCGAAACAAAGTTTCTTTTGTATTAAAAGCTCTTATCCAATCATAAGCACTCAAAACAATAGCCAAAAGATGCTTCTAATTTGCAATGTTCCCCACATAGAATTGCCTTAATATTGAAGCTAAAGAAAGCTTTCATGAAAGCGAAAACAGACATTAAATAAAATATTAGAAAATTCTCTAACTTGTAAAATTATAGCAGATTTTCATGTTTTAACCAATGGGATGGATGGATTATACAATGCACAATTAGCACCTTCTTGCATTCCTATGCCGTTTGCTTCCCTAGTTCTTACTCAGGGCATTAAAACAAATGTGCTGTGTATATAATACACCTACTTGCGAAAACGTTGTCATAAAAAAATGGATATTTGTTATTTAGTAAAAAGGAATAAATTAAAAAGACAAGATCACTGAGGCTGAATGCTCTCTTTTGTCTTGTTTTAATTTATTCCTTTTTTACTAAATTCGAATGTACCTGCTGAATTGCAGAAATCAGTATCGCAGCATGTCACGTGGCAGTTGACTCCGTGTTGTTTTTTCGTCACAAGGCCGCAAATAAATCCTTCATCGCAATTGCGACCACAGCGCGAGAACAGAGTTTGTCCTGCAATGTGTGGGAGATCAAAAGTGGTTGTTACACACTTCTGACCGTCATTACACGTCATGGTGTCAACMGGGAAGGAGTATTCCGCATACTTGTACCTATCGTAGCATTCCAGGCTCAAGATCATCGAAAAACTCATGAGAAAATTGCATACCAATAGTACAACCTGCAAGACAAGAAAATATAACCAAACTTGTCTTGCAATATATTTGTGGCTGAGCGCTCAAGAAAAACTAAGTTGCATTTCTGCTTTCGGTGCAAACTCCATGATTAGACGTTGTTAGGTCGTGGTTGGATAAGCATATAGGGCGTGGTTGGATAAGAATAGCTTGTGTTTTAAGTGAGCGGATAAGGCGCGGTTGTAGGACCCACAAAGTCCCCGCTTTCCTTGAAAAAGGGTTTATTGATAAAGATGCTGCTATACTTAWGATATCGAGCTAATGACATAAAGGAAGCCACCATTAAGCGAGCACGTATCGGTTTCCTGAAATTTGCTTGTATAATAAGTTTACTGTTAACYTGACCTCCGAGAAACGTCTCACCTCTGTTAAGCGACCACCTGGTGTTTTCTGAGGGTGATCGCAAAATAGAGGTGCGACTACACTAATGAAAACAGAGACATCACCAGGACCCATGATCGCCTACCTTCAGAGAGTTCATTTTAACTGGATTGGTCGCTCTGAAATAACAAATATTGTGTTTATATTTTTAGTACACTCATTCCTTTAAACAAATGYTATTTTATAAATACTGCTAAATTCATTCGAAATAAAAAGATAGGTTAGCACATTTAGAACCTATTTTGGATTATTTCAGATTAATTGGTAAAAGTCTCGTTTCTATTTAGGATTATTTCAGATTAAGTGGTAAAATTCTCGTTTCTAAAGGGTTATCTAAAAGTTAATTATTCAAAACGTTTGGATGAGGGTAATTACAAGAGATAAACGGCTTATAGAAATTGTGGAAATCTACTGAAACRTACATTTTCTTGTCATATAAGCTCGTACTGTTAACTAACTCGTGATGAAGAAGAGTTTCACCATCTCTTCAATGAATCCCGATGAATATTGGTAGGGTGGTGTAGGGTTGACCTGCCAATACGAAAAAACAAACTTTTGATAATCAATTTACATGGGTCAATGATTTCAATGGGGGAACCTGTTTAAGGTAGAAGAAAAAGTTGGCTCAAAAAAGACAATCACAAAAACTTTGTAGCTCCTCAGTTTAGGCTTACTCCCGGCCAGAAAGTCGCCTTATGTCGACGCAACTTAAGGCGATTTAAGACAAGATGAGGATAAAATGGATGGGGCACTGTGGAAACGTTTTAAAAGTGCTACTTGCATAAATATGCCCTTATTTCAAAATTTCAAGCAATACAAATAAATGACTCATTTATATCTATTAAAAACAATTGCGGGAAAATATTTTGTAGCAGCCTTTTAAGACAATTTGGATGATAATTAGGTGTCCCTTGGCGACTTAGGTTGTACAGAATTAGGGCAACTTAAGGTGACTTAAGGCAGGTTCAGAATCTTATACAGYAAGGAAGATATGAATTAACACTCCGATTTTATTTTAGATTTGTCAGTGAAAGACTTGTCTTGATGCATGGCAGGGAGAAAAACTTTATATCACTTGGGGTGGTGCGTCARCCAATCAGATCGCATCTACGATTGAGGGTAATAATACAAGTGAAATYTATCATTATGWCGTCATGATTGTTTTGACGAAATGGATCAGGGGATTGATAAAAGTGTCAAAATGTCTTTAAAAATACGCTACACAAGTTTCTTAGCGAAATTGAGGTTATTCCTTGGMGAGGACGTGTTAGGAAAAAATAAAATGTCGCGATATTTGAACACCAGAACGTATCAAAATTCTACCAGGAAAAGTTATGCTTATTGCTCAAAAAACAGCCTGAAACACAAAAGCATAGTATTACTTTGTTCTTAGTCTCTTTGAGAACGTCATATTAGGAGAAAGGTTCAAGTCGGAATAAAAATTGTATTGCAAGTGTTTAGCACAGTATTTTTCAAGAATTTCATATTTGAATAGATAACAATTGATACTCCAGTTTCGAAGTCTCTTTTGTGCAAGCTTATCTTCAATCAAGCATAAATTTTCATTGTCTTCTTTGTATAGACAGAGTGTTTGCATTACATTAGATTCTCTGCTGAACAAAAGAATATATTGCATGCTTTCGAGGTTAAGGCTGCACAAATAAGATCTCGAAACCAGCCTTATTCGAAAGAATAATTCCCCATGATGCAATGCTGTTTCAAACTTTTATTTCGTTCTATAGACACAGACGATATAATTAGTTATTTTTCCGATGGCGTTTACTCTGTTSTTTTGCTGGACTTTTCTCACCACTGTTTTTACCAGTGATTCCAAGCAGTTTCGCAAACAGTTTCATCCTTTCTATCATTTCCTTAATCTCGCTGGGKGATGGTGGTTTGGCATTCGTCCCGTTATTAGCTGAAACACCACTTCCTATATCACTTGCTGAGAATTRAAAGAAAAATTTAAATTCAGACATAACAAAATACTATCAAGAATCGAGTTGTCCAAAGCCAGATAAGTATTTACGACAACAATGGAGCGATATGTCACGGTCGACGACCAGGGCACTGGGGATGAGCATTTAAACGAGATCTCATAGGCCAGCCTCCGTATAGTAAACTTTGATGGTGTCTTTCAGCAGTGTTATAAATAACATATCAATACAACTTACAAACGTTTGAGCACTGCAAATATGCGATCATCGTAGTGATTTCTAGATGTTAGGCCTTTGAGGTCTCGTTTCCATTATTTGTCACTATTCCCACGATATTGGGGGTCGTGGACTACCGCCATTTTTTTTAATTTGTGTATTAATTCAGTATAAATCCATAGTTTTTTTTAAGTTAACCCAGGATTAGTACTATTCGAGCTTTTAACAACCTAGTCTCCTTCACAGCCTACCCTTTTGTCGGGCTTCCAGTCCTTCCATAGGAAGCCCGACAAAAGGGTAGGCTGCAAAGGAGACTATTAACAGACGGCTCTGTATTTACCTGCTGGTAGYTCATTACAGAGGTCTGTATTGCAACATGTTGCTTGACAGTTCGTTGTATCGCTCCTTATCCGGCGCTCCTGGTTGCACAAAGAGGTTTCATCGCAGTTGGTAGAACAGTACAAAAATTCAGTTGGAGTCGGGTCAGAGGAGTGTTCCACAATCATTGTTAAACACTGGGCAGAAGACGAAGTGCAGGTCATAGTGCGACGCGGAATTGCACTGTCGCCTTCACGCCAATACCAGTTACACTGACGGCTGAAGACCGATGACAGGCTTA